TATGGTTAAGGGCCTACAGACCAAGCCTTATGAGGAGAGACTAGAGAAACTGGATCTATTCAGCCTCCGCAAGAGAAGGTTGAGAGGCGACCTTGTGGCTGCCTATAAGTTCATCGTGGGGGCACAGAAGGGAATTGGTGAGTATTTATTCACCAAGGCGCCCCCGGGGGTTACAAGAAATAATGGCCACAAGCTAGCAGAGAGCAGATTTAGACTAGACATTAGGAAGAACTTCTTCACAGTTAGAATGGCCAGGGTCTGGAACAGGCTCCCAAGGGAGGTGGTGCCTTCCCCTACCCTGGGGGTCTTCAAGAGGAGGTTAGATGAGTATCTAGCTGGGGTCATCTAGACCCAGCACTCTTTTCTGCTTGTGCAGGGGGTCGGACTCGATGATCTATTGAGGTCCCTTCCGATCCTAACATCTATGAATCTATGTACTCATATATGCTCACCTCTCATTTCAAGATCAAAATAAAATTTGCTCCATGTAAATTAAGGATTATCATTACCGGGGGATGAAATGCAAAGTGCAAATGGCCTAGCCAGTGGACCACCTAAAACCTAAATTAATTATTTAAATACTTCTTAAAGAAGAGTGGACCTCCATTCCTGTAATGTGTGCATCCCATATGCCAATCATTCAAACGATGCATTCTTTTAACATTCAGAAATGTAAATGCCAGGTTAGTCTGAGGTGGGGTATTTATATTCTACTATTGTTAGTAATTGTTCAGTGTTCGCTGTAAGTTTGGCACTGCACAGTACACAAAAAGAAAAGCTGTTATCCTGAACAGTTTTACAGTCAAACAAAAGCTGACATAATTATGGTCAAGGAGGATAAGCTTCTGGTGTTAGACACCTGAAATATTAAAAGTCTCATGGACAAACGATAGAATTTTAGATTCCTATCGACTTTATTTGCATGGCTGTGATCCCATCCTCACACTGCAGATTTCTAGCCTAAGTGCCTAATAATACTACCATCTTTTCAGAAACCAATACCTGTTTGATTGAAGTATTCAGTGCTAGTTCATTTGCCTCCTTTTTGGTCTCACAAAAGATAATTGTCCGTCCGTGACTGCCACTGTAGACCTGAATAACATCACCAATAATGGCTGCTCTCCGAGACCAATGACACTCAATAGCCAAGTGCTGTAAGGGAAAGAAAATCCATCTATGTTGTATCTATCGTTACTCAAAAGAATAGTAGCAAAACAAAAGCTTGACATATTTTGAAGAAGTTACTCTAAACATTTTTTAATTAAAAAAAACAACAAAACCCCACCCAGAAAACAAATTCATATAAGAAATACTGTTCATCTAAAAATGCTTTACATGGCTTAATCTAATCTGACAGCCAAACAACAGAAACTTAAAGTAACTGCTGACCTTTTAAATGTGGGAACTGTAATCATATCATCCATACTGTACATCTTTAGAACTGATGCTACTTAGTAATAACATTACTTACATCTACAGTCACAGCAGTCCTTTGAGTCTTCTTTCCAATGAGGTCAATCTGTTCATAACTGGATTTCATGTATTTCTTACCCACATTGTATACCCAGTGTGGACAAGTTGCAGAAAACAGCAGTGTCTGGGGGTTGTCTTCAGAATCTTTGGAAGACAGCACATACCATCAATAATCCTAGCAGTACTTATACAAGAGAATTCATGTTTCACAGATTCCATATTACGGCATGTTATAAAAGCAGTAAGAACAATACTGAAATTTGGGAAGCATACAAAATTTAGCAAGCAGACAGAAAAGCATTTTAAGGCACTCAACAAAAAAAAAAAAAAAAGAAAATATGATAAATGTTGATAAAGAGCTAAAGTGAAGCACGTGCGAGCCTACTTAAAGTCAAGCAATGAAGGAAAAATATTAATGATTTGAGTCAGATCAATATAGGTCTAATTTGTTCAAAAAGGAAAGGCAAGAGATAGGCAAATCTCATTTGAAGTTCTAGTTCCGTAGACCTGATGCAAAGCTTACTCAAATCACCTGGAACCTTTTCACATAGGTGAATGGACTAAAGATAATTCACTTTAAATTATTTTCCTGATAAATTAAAAGGATTTACTTTCCAGAAATGCAGACAATAAATTTGCACACTTACCTTTCTTGTAAGCAAATGTTAAAATTTCTTCTACTTGCTCAGCAAAGCCCATGTCTAACATTTGATCAACTTCATCCAGAACAACATGCTTCACGTTGGAAAGGCTCAGCTTGCCATTTTGAAGATGGTCTTTGATTCGACCTGGAGTTCCAACTAAGATGTCAATGCCATTTTGGATATGAAGAACTGAAGGAAAAGCAGCAAAATAGTACATAAATGAGAGAGAGAGAGAGGGCAAGCATAGGGTTTGCATATTGTTATCAATCTATAGTAATATTTCTAGTCTGAAGACCAAGTAACTAGGGCTCCTGCCCTTTCACTTCTGAAAAAAAACTGAATTTATTTGGGGTTACAGGTGAACTGATTTAGCTAGTTATTGAAGACCCTCTACAATAAGTGCAATGCTAAAATAAAAAACTATGACATCATGAGACTGCCTTCTTTCAAAATCATCTTCATTCAATTAATTTTAAAAACCACCAAAATTTTAATCAGACTTTAAACTCTTGTCTTCTCTCGCCTTAGTTTCCAGCTTTTCTTTTTCTCTCCCACACATCTGTATAACAACAAAAATCCCTCAGAAATCATCCCCAATCTGTTCTTAGGCAACCCTGCCTGTTGTCAGTCTACAGTGGAAACCTGAAATGACAAGTCTGGGAATGAACCCCCCCAAATGCTCATCAATAACTTTTGAGCTATCTAAGCCATAAGTGGCAGAACCAAGCAGCTGAAAGCAGTATTAGAAAATAGCCAGAAAAATGTGGAAACAAGAAAATATGAGATATGCTTAGTTTCACTCTCCTCCAAACTGGGATATTAGTACAATGCAAGTATGTGTCCTGTTTTTCTCAGAGATTAGTCCTGCCAAAGTTCATCTACTCAGGCCCCTAAACAAATGTACAAATAAAGGGGTGATGGAATCTAATGGGCAATCCCCACAATCATGCTTCCTGCCGTGCCACATGTGCATGGCAGGAGGCGTGACTGTTGTATAAAGTATCAGATCTCATCACGCCTTATTGCTGGTGCAGGGGGAACCTGTAATCACGATCCTAGGCTCCCCCTGCACTGGGAAGTAGCAAGCTCCCATTGCTGGGAGCCCCAGCCTGGCCACACATTCAATTAATGGCATGATAGGAACTGGCCAAAAAGTTACTACACTTTCTTTGTGTAACCTGTTAAGTGTAACATGTGGCAGGGGCCTCAGTTTCAAGATCAGAGCTTCATAAAACTGAACAGATACATTTCAACCATCAAATACAAAATTAAAAAAAAAAGCCAAAATGACTTTTCCCCTTGAACACATTACTTGGATAAAGATTTTTGTTAAACATATACACCTAACTTGTATTCTCTCTTTAAATTTTTTTTTTCGTTTTTAGCAGAAGTGAAACCTTGAGGAGGAAAGTTTTACTCCGTGAATACAATACCTGAATGTCAGCCAATACGAGAGTGACTTCTACATATTTACTTACTTTGTTCACCATATGGTGTTCCACCATAGAAACAAGCCACTGTGAGTTTCTTTGTGATGTCTTTGAAGTCTCTGGCTACCTGGTTTGCCAGCTCTCTGGTTGGAGTAAGAATTAGCACCTGAAGCAATTAAATAAATAGTCAGAAATCCTGGAACTTGCTTACAGGGCGGGAAGGGGAGAACATGGAATCAAGGAGATCAGCTACATTGTAGAGTTTGTATGACACTGTTACCCTGAATTTTCTCCTGCTTTTAAAAACATTTGTTTTTCTATTATTATTTATAGTATTATCATTCAGATAATACTACTGTCAAGCAACATCAGATAACATTTCCACTAAAGACAAGGTAGAGGAATGGGAGTGATGCGTTCCTTATCTTTAAATGATAAAAAAAGCTGAACAACTTAACTGTAGATACACTGACCTTGGACAGGATCCCTTTTAACTATTAAATCAATGTAATCACAATTAAAATATTTACAGAGACCAACTGAACTGGACTTCCACTGTTAACTTGAGCTACCCAAGCACTAATGATTTGTAACAAGTCCCATTTGCCTGACTGCCATCCTAAGTGAGTTTACAAGTAAGGGAACAAATTACACAAGAAATCTGCTCACTGGACATTTAAGAACTGAACTGTGGTACTTCATCTGTTTACAGTATGACTGCAAGACAATCTCAAAAAAATATGACATTGCAGTCTGCTATCATCAAGATGCTGCAAAGGACTTGTCATGGTGCAGAGCTAGGCTACATGATACTGTTCAAGACCAGAAGGGAGAGTTGCCAGAGGGGAGAAGAAAGTAAGCAAGTGACAATATGTCAAATGCGGCCATAAATGTAAGGCATCAGTGTTTTCTCAAAGCAATTAAGGTACCTTTGGTGGACGGCCTCTCTTCCTTTCCTTTATGGCTCCCTGAAGTTTTTCAATCAAAGGAAGAGCAAAAGAAAATGTTTTTCCAGTTCCAGTTCGAGCCTGAGCTATCATATCCTTGCCATCATATATGGGCTGGAAGGTCTTTGCTTGAATAGAAAACAGGTACTTTACTCCTCGAGCTGCAAGACAAACCAGTAAGATATTTATTACACGGTGCTATGACTCCACAGAGTCAAATTAAACAGCTGAAAGCCCTGTTATGTGGTAACTAACCCAAATCCACAGGACAGATCGTGTCAAGTCCTCTATTAGATACTGGGAGTAAACAGCAAATATGCATTTCATTTCATTAATCCTACTTGGCAAAAAAATATATATTTTTTGTTGAAGCAAAATTTAGTTTCGGGGACAAAAAGGACAAAATCTTTGTGTTACTTTCACCATAAATGTGGCTGTAATTTACATTAATATCATTCAAGTTTGTTTTATGTACAGAACAAATTAAATTTTCAGTTAAAAAGACACAGCCCCCCCCAAAAAACTACTGCTCAGCATCCTATTAAAGTATTAAAGGTGTTATTTCAGAACAATGACATTTTTAAGTAGCACACACATCAGTCACCACCATGGAACCCAAAATCTAGAGAGACAATGATCAGAATATGAACTTCACCAAGATTAAAGTTACAAAACAGGACCACTGTAGAAGAGGTAATACAATACTAGAGAGAAAACTGTTAAAAGAGCTAAGAGTTAAAATATAACCAATAATGAATCCAATTATTGCATCACACTTGAAAAAAAATCTACCAATATACACCAAATCTACCAATATTCAGGAGTTACAGCTACTGAAAAGTTTTGCAGAAAACACTGTGAAAGTTACAATAGAAAATAAATGCACTATAACCTCTTATATCAGTGGGGCCAACCTTTTTGACAGGCATGTCACAAGCTAGCCTCACACCATTCCTGAGGGCCACTTTGATCCCCTTCCTCTGCCAGATAGGTTGCATTGCTTTCTTGTCTATACTGTGCTCCCTGCTTCGTTTCCTGCCCTGCCTTCTACTTCCTGCCTGATTTCATGCCCAGCCTTCTACTTCCTGTACTACCTGCTGCTTCCTGCTTGTTCCCTGATCCGCCAAGTGCCACAAAGTGCCCATGCTACAGGTCTGTACAGTGCCCTGTCTTATATAGTGCTTGTGAGGGAGAAAAGCACAACTACCTTCCTCCAGTGTATATGCAAAAGAAACTGTCACAGAGGAGATAACCTTGCTTTGATAAGCTCACACTGGGAACTCTCAGTGTGAAACTGAAACCCCCCTTAACAGCAGCAAGGGCATTTCCTAGTTACAGGAGGATCTCAGAAATCAGGACTCCTGGATTTTACTCCTGTTTGTGTCACTAACCAGGTAGCTCTGGACAAGTTAATTATAATGTGTTTTTTTGTTAAAGATGGCTCCAAACAGATCAAGAATGCCTTTTGCCACAAAAATTACCTTTCAGAAGCTCAGCAGTCTCTTTAGAGATAGAAAAATTGGAGAAGGCACCTTCTTTTTCTTCTTCAGTCAACTCCTATAGATTAAAATAAAACAGCAAATTCAGTTATACTGTAAGAGCCAATTCACTACTCTAATTCATCACATGCCATTTTAACCTATCAGAGAAAAAAAAAGTCTGAAAATAATTTAATTATCAGTCTCCTTAATTTGGGGAAAAAGCAGACCCTTAGGTAAGTCTCCAACACAATGGAGGCCTGACTGCAGGACAGGTTGGCAACGTCTCTGGAGCAAGCTCTGGTACTGGTATAAACTTCCATACGGGCTTCACAAAACCAGTGGTGACCTTGGGTAAGTATTTCAGTTGCAGCCCTCCACCCTGACACTTAAATCCATACTTCTGCATCTTTGCTTCCTAATCCCACCTCTTTAGTGCAAAATGATCTATTTCCTTGGCCTTTCAGGATACAGCAACATGGTGCATACACACTTGGGAATTAAACAATTTTCAAACTGTGTATACCTTGTGCTATTTGGTAAACTGTATATGCTCTCCAGGGAGACAAACAAAAGATTATTTTGACACATACTTAAGAAATGAAAATTAATACAAAACACCACAAATACCTATCATTTGAAGTAGAATATTTATGGATGAAAGTTCCTTCACCAAGCAATGGGCAAATAATTTACTTACCATAAGCCATCATCATGCTTACTGACTTTAAATTAAATGAACCAACTTCTTCAAAGGTTGAAAACAGATAATTTAAATGACCTGTTACACATTTACCTTGCCAACTGCGGGGGTTAGGTTCTGGAAAGTCCCATGGTTGGTCAAACTAAAGGCTTATGGGGAAAATGGAGTTAAGAGACTTGAACACTATACAGAATGGTGTATACAAATCATTTTTACTTATCTTTAATACATGGGATGGTCAACCAGGCGTAGGCATACCCCTAGAGGTACTTTGACAGGTTATATGGGTATGTGCCGATGGGCGAGGATGGAGCGCAACCAGGGCGCGGCAGCAGCATCTCCCCTAGCACATTCACCTCTTACCCGAGTGAGAAAGAGGGGAAAGGGAAGAGGAGGGGAGGGACTCGCTAGTCAGCCCCACGCAGCACACCACAGTGCTTCCCCAGCCCCACCAGTCTGAATGGCGGGATGAGGGTGTTTTGTGCCTGCCTCTGGCAGCATACGATTGGCCAGTCAGCAGCACATGGATGGGGCCCTGGCCGGACCTGGCAGCAGCAAGAGCCACCTGCCTGCACCCCAGCCCATGACCCGGCCCAGGCTCCATTCACTATGAATGGAGGTCCATGCACTGCTGTGCAGGGCACAGCGGCAAGCAAGCCTGTTGTTCCCTGCTGCCCTCCCCCATGATCCAGCGTAGCAGGGAGCAGAGAAGCCACGCAGAGATCACCTTGCCTGCCGCTGCTCCCCTTGCACTGCCCTGGCAACATGCCTCCTGCACGTGGGGCTGCGTCCCTCAAACCAGCAGCAGGCACAGGACACACGTCACCAGGGCAGTGCAGGGTGAGCAGCAGCAGGCGAGAATATCCCCGTGCAGCTTCTCTGCTTCTTGCGGCAGAGTCACGGGGGAGAGAAGCAGGGCAGCAGGGAACAGCAGCAAGCAGGCCTGCTGTTCCCTGCCACCATGGATAGGGCAGCTCCTCACCACCACACGCACCTCCAGGAGGGTGGGGGCCACTTCCAGTGGAGGAGCAGGGGCTGGGCGAGGGGTACCCCCAGAGCACAGGTAGCAGGCAGCTCATGAGTGCTGCCATGCTGGGGTACATGGGAGTGTCTCTCAGAAGCGTGGGGGGCTCCCCAGCGCACTCAGCAACAGACCCGGAAGTGGACCAGAAGCACTTCCGGTCCACTGGAGAGCGCACTGGGGGCCCCCCTTGCCCCTCCCACCTTGGCAACTGGTACCTCCTGAGTCTGAGGAAGCATCTGAGGTACCCCGCGGCTGATTGCCAAGCCAGGGGATGCGGGGGAACCCCCCATATGCTCCCCGGCAGACCTGGAAGTGGACCGGAAGTACTTCGCCACTGAGCACATGGAGGGCCCTCCCACACTCCTGTGGGACGCTCCATCTGCCTCAGCATCGCAACCATCACAAGCTGCAGTGGTACCTTGAGATATGTAAAAAAAACATTTAAAGCTGTGACTATGGCTGAATCACTGATTCTCTGAATCAGCATCGAATCTTCAGGGACAGTGACCCAAATCAATTAATCGAATAGGGCCCTTACAGACTACCGTGACTCAAGCAGCCTAAGTTAGGTCAGGAGTGGTCCAACCTCCCCAGAGCAAGCAAATTGAGAGGGAACAAAAAGTGGACATTAAAGCTACTTTAAACCATAACTCCAACCCCACTGGATTTGCCATTACTGTGAAACTTTGCTACAAACTTTGCCCAGAATTATTTGTAGCAGTACCATGCAGATGTATCTAAGCAAGATTGCTAAATTCAGGTAGAATGAGGAGTTGTAGGGTTACAACTTTACCTCCTCTTGATCACTATCACATTCTTCACTCAATGTTTCGCTAGACTTGCACTGAGTTTCTGAGTGAACACAACCATTGCTTGTGGAGGAAGACTTCTCTTGCTCTGAGCTGTTTTTTTTAATATCTCCATTCACTTTTGTTTTGTTTTCCTTAATCTTTTTGGGTTGAGGAGGATCAAGGTCATCTTCAGAAAAACCATTTTCCTCTGCTTGAGGTATCTGCTCCTTGGATTTCTTGCTGTGTTTAGATTTCTTCTCTTTTTTTTCCTTCTAGGAGACAAGGAACAAAAACACATGGAAAGCTCTAAATTTGTCACAAAAATACTTGGCATCTGCTCAACATTCACCCAAAGCATATGATTGGTTACAGCATACAGTCAAGTGAAGAAACACAGAATAATATTTAGCTCCTACTCCAAATGCTGCCTGGGCTTGAGGGTATCTCCACAAAGCCCATCACACACGGCTGTGCCTTGTTAGCACTCAAGAAATGGGGAAACTGGGATTAGTAAATTATTGATGTCACTAAAACGTTCCACAGAGAACTTGCATCTGAAGAAGGAAATAGAAAGATTTTGGCCTCCTAGAGTCCTGCTTTCCTTTCCTGAGATAATGCAATGAACTAGAATTGAACAATGCCTGGAGGCAGCAGCACTGACTGAAAGGCAACAGAGATCAGGGGCAGATGGGAAGTGTGGAGGGGCCTCCTGATGCTCTTGACATTCACCTCAGCCTGGTTCAGCAAGTCTGCACCTCTGCCAGCTCCTCCTGGCAGTGGGGCTCCTATTCCACAGCCCTGCCCACCCATTCAACCCTAGCTAGAAACGGAAAGAGAAAAGCTTCCAACCAAGCACAGGAAGGCCTGGCTTTGCCCCGCCCCAGTAACCCGCAGAACAGGGGCCAAATGAACGACCCGCGGGCCTGGTTTGTGCCGGCTCCCTACACAAGCCAGGCTGCCAGTTCCCATAAAGCCCTGGTTGTCCCGGCCCCGCTTCCCTCTCCCTCCCCCGCGGGAGCGGGTGGTGCGATGACGTCACACCGGCGGCAGCACGAGGCTCCGCGGCTCGCACGTGCCCGGTCCGGCCCCACCGCCGCCCCGGGACGCAGGGGATGGGGATGGGGATGGGGATGGGGATGAGGCGGCCGCAGCCCCCGGATCCCGAAGGGGGTCCTGAGCTCGTCCGCCCTCCCTCCCGCAGTACCTGGCGCTTCCTCCTGCGGCCCGCGCGCGCCGGGGCGCCATCC